TAATTTTTATTTTGTTACAGAAATGGGTCGAGGCGTAATAACGAAACTGTCATCGTTATTAGAGGAGGACGACTTAGACGAAGCAGAGGAGGAAGAGGCACTCGACGCGGAAGTGGAAGGCGACGAGGAGCCCGAGGAGGGCGACGCCGCAGACTACAGCGACGCCAGCAGCGAGGAGGTCGACGTGTAGCCGACGCCGCCGACTACAGACGCCAGGGGGGCTACTCCGGGACGCTGTTTACTTAGTTTCGGGTCTATCTGTCACCGTTGCTCATGCTGGCATCTCGCCATGCGTGAGAGGGATGGCAGCATTCGAAACTACGCGTCACAATTCTCGGAGTAGCCCCCCAGCAGCGAGGAGGTCGACGTGTAGCCCCGGCGCCTGTACCATACTTACGTTACATACCTGTGCTGAACTCACGCGATATGCCACCTAATCTTATTTTATCAAATCAAACAAATAGGTGACAACGATGTTTAGTACAAATCAATATAAGTATTATTCCTTAAGTTTTTGCTTTTATTTCTAATGATCCTTGACCTTTTCCCAATTAATTTATGCTGGTTGCAGACATCTGTCACACCTGTACCAATGTTTACCACCACCACCAACCACAACCACCACCAACCACAACCACAACCACCACCAACCACAACCACCACCAACTTTTAGTTGGCCGATAGTATAGTTGGTGGTCTGCAGCTAGCTAGACTAAAATAGTTGGATCGGGCTGTTAATCAGTATAGACATGGATGGAATTGCGCACATTACACCAATTTGATTTTATTAAAAGAACAAACATTACATTTATAGAAATGGATTTATTGCTAATAGATTTATGAATAAATAATAATATTGTCGTGTCATCTCCTCACTTTAAGTCTTCATCGTCAAATAAGTCTTCGAAATCTGAAATGGAATTAATAATATTTGTAAGTAACTTATTAATTTTAATATAATAATAAGGCTTAGAATTTAACTTTGAAAGAGGTAATCTGGCATTTTATAAGGTAGATACCTGGATTCGTATATGATCAATGTTGTTATATTCATAATGGAAATTATTAATTTTAAGACTGTCTCACTAGTGATAGATTAAATTATGAATAAACATTTATTACTATGTGCACTATTGTATTTGCTGTCACCTCTTGTTACTGGTGAGTACAGCATCAACTTAACTTCTCTATTAAATATTAAATGATAGCAAAGTGAGGAAAAATGACAAAAAACTTATAAAAGAAGTGTTGAGCCTCACTCTCATCATATTTTGGATGATTACTTATTTTCTCAATACTAATTGTATGGTAACATTGTTAATTCTAAAGATTATGGTATATAATTTATTACATGGTCCATACACCCGCAACACCGAGTTAAAAGTGCGCTGCCGGGTCACAGCGAAATCAGTGTATCTGATAGACTTTTTAGGACCAGAGTCCAGAACCTAAGGCATAGATTCTAAAAGATAATGTTTGTTTTTATATGATAAAGAAATTTTAATGTTTTTCTTACTACTTTCCACTTATTTAAAAATGAAATAATTTAGTTACCATTAAAAAAGTCAGCATGGACAGCTTTTTCATTAGCAGCTAGATCCATCAAGAGATTCGAAGGTCCACCTGCCTGCAATCAAAGAGAATACAACGCCTGTAATAATGTAGAAAGGACTTGAGACTACCCTCTGACCGAGAATTATTGGGAAACATAATTATTTTATTAAAAAATATTGTATCAGTACGCTAAACAGACGGAATATATATACTATAGTTAGTTCGTTTTGGATTATATCCAAGAATATCGATAAAATTGTTCCAAATATTTTGGGAAAACGAGGCATGATATTAGACTTACTTCTTCTAAATCCATGTATGGGCCAACGCCCTCTGGAAACATTTCGTCAGCAGCAACCGTAGGTTTCATTATTATCAGAGATAGGAAATATTGCGCTGTAAATATGAATTTGTTAGTTTTATTTAGCTTTTTTCAAACAAAAATATTGCGTTTATGTTTTGTATCAGCGACCAAGCGACAGCGATACCCAGTGACAGTGACAGTCGGTGTCAGCTGATGAGCTTTTTTTAACAAATCATTGACTTGTAAATTTATGAACTGGTCATGTTTACAAAATAATATTGCGTGTCTATTGGCGCAAATACACTATGCGGGAAATTGGCCAAGACGTAAACGTAGAAGTGTGAACACCATCTTGGTTACTTTCTCTTTCCGCCTCCTCCCGTACGTTGCGTCGCCCTCACCATCGCCCAGGCTGGGCTGGCTAGAGCTTCGACTTGGACAGTATTCCGCTTATTATCTATAAAAAAATCGAAACATGTTGCCATTTGACCTGCCAACTCTGCCAAGTGAAAGTCGCGCATTTTCCATCAACCTGAGAAGGTGGGGAAACGTAAGAGAGAGAGATTTTCAAATTACAAACCACTGTTACGTTTTACTCTTTACTTGATACTAAAATAAAAAATCTTACGTTCTTTCTCTGCGTCACGCTCACGTCACGACACAACACATCGTTCAACTATATGGTTTGCAATATGGCAAAAATCTGAACCAGCGATTCGGTATTGACGGTGGCGCCCTACTGTCAATGTCATCGACAGGACAGTCCAGTATTTTGGAACTATAGATAAAAATCTACCTTAAGGCGTGTCCATGAAGCTAAAGATAAAAATGGAGGGCAGAGTTGGAACAAAAACTTGAGTCAAATACCTACTTATATCTATCTCGCTCTCTGCGGCCCTATCTCTCTTTTTAGTGTGAACCATAAAGTTAATATTCCTTCGGAATAGAGCAACAATCACGAGCTGTCAAACGAAACCAAAATGAGATGTCATATCGTTCGTTCGTTCGTTTCAGCCAAATGACGTCCACTGCTAGACAAAGGCCTCCTCCAAGGTTTTCCACAATGCACGGTCCTGCGCTGCCCGCATCCAGGCTCTTCCCGCGACCTTTACGAGATCGTCGGTCCACCTAGTAGGAGGCCTGCCCACGCTACGTCTTCCAGCCCGTGGTCGCCACTCGAGAACTTTTCTGCCCCAACGGCCATCGTCTCTACGAGCTATGTGCCCCGCCCACTGCCACTTGGTTTTAGCAATTCTGCGAGCTATGTCGGTCACTTTGGTTCTCCTGCGGATGTCATATGTGTGTGTAAAAATAAATATGTGTGCATGTCAGTGATGTATGTATGTCGTTACTTTTCACATGAATATCGATATCGATTAAATATTAATTAACACCTAACAGTAATAATATAAATAGAATAAGATGGAATGGGATTGTAGGTATATGGGAATTGGGAGAGTGGCCAAAGAAAATAAAAAAAAAACTCAGAAGATTAAAATTATTCAACTCATTTATTTGGAAGAATGAGAGTTACAAACATCAAGACATCCATACAAACTTTCGCATTTATAATATTAGTAGGAGTAAAACAATAATTAAAAAATGATAATTCTGACGATAACGTAAGAAAATAGGATTCTAACGATGTAATAATCGTTGTTGGCCGTATAGTGTAGTGGTTTGAAACGGACTACTATTCCGGAGGTAGCGGGTTCGATTCCCGCACAGTACAAACATCTGTGTGCATAAACATATTTATTATTATATTTAGTATGTAATATTTAGTTTAGTTTATTAACTAACAGGTAATTACAAAATAATACTTTTCTATATTCACATACAAACGCCATTTATGTACCTACATAATCAGCAGTGACTGTGATAAACAGCGCAGAAAATATATTTATCGATTGTGGTACAACCCTAGTGTAAAACGAAAATTATTTCTTTACACAAAATATTCATAAATTCTGGATTATGAGCATGAAATCTTTGCTTACAACTTAAATTAATGTTTAAAGAACATAATTATCACACTTAGTGCTTAAAATTCTAAGCGCATTCACAAAAATAAAGCTAAAGTTTGGAGGTGTCGATTTCAATAAATTTACCTGTGAAATGAATATTTTGCAGGATTATTCCTTTGGTGTACATCACAATCAAGGACGGAACAGGTCACCATTATATAAGAAAACAAATTTTCCAAAAATAAACAGGATTTTACGATATTTTTATAAAAAACTATAATTTAAAATTTTCTTTGTGCCTCTATGTGTCACTGCCTGTCAAATCTTTTGCAAAAATGGTTCTATTGACGTGACGATGATAGCATCACACATCTCTTTTTATCACACAGGGTTGCAGATAGTGACATCTCGCTCGCTCATTCTTTGTTGCTCTATTCCGAAGGAATATTAACTTTATGCTCTGAACTGTAGTATTGCTATCTTCTGATTTAAATCTCCTTGTAAATTCTTCGAAATAGCCAATTCACTAACCAAATCAGAAGTTAAACAAATAAATAATTAATATTTGAAACTAAGATTACCTAGTTAAATAAAAAATCACAAAATTGTCGGCCATTTAGGCTTAATGTGTTGGCGAATCAGGGAATTACAATCCCAATTCCTGGGTAATCGGTACCATGTGGCAACATCGGCCCAATCCGGCCCATCATGGCGGTTGTTTACTATTTTGTTTATTAAGCAGTTAATTTCGTTTGAGATTGTTTACAGGAAATAATAATCATTGTTTTATCACAAGAATTGGTGCAAAATTTTGTAGTGCGTGGTTGCGGTAGTACGTGGTGTCCTGGAAGTGACATAAGATTCCACGCGTAAGTGTTTATTTCGTGATTTCCGACATTGGATCATTGTAAACATTTTTCACATTTTTTACAGTAATTTCTTCCTAAAACGTTTTACCAGTAATTACACTTATCATTTTTAATGATACCTATGTCAAGAAATAAAGATTTTACATTGGTTTCATTGAATTTGAGCAATTTTATATTTTTTGTTTATTTAGAAAGAGCGAGACACTGCCCACAGAGAGATACTTAGTTTGTGCTTCAAGTAGGTATTCGGAGTGTGGCCTCCATTTTTATCTGTAGCTTCATGGGCGTGTCTATCTGTCCTGTCACTGTCAGCAGTACTGTCAGTGTCAGACGTTGTGTCGTCGTGTGTTGTTCGAAAAAGGGGTTATGTTATCATAACCATGTTATCGTATGAAAATAAAATCATTCTTGCACCCATGGTTCGTATTGGAACCCTTCCTATGAGATTATTAGCATTGCGCTATGGAGCTGATATTGTTTACACAGAAGAATTAATTGATTGGAAATTTTTGAGATCGAAACGGCGATTGAATGGTATTACATTATCTTATCGCAATACCTATGCTAGGTATTTTATAAATATTTATTTCAAGATCCTTAAATTTTTCAGAAATTCTCAATACTGTGGATTATGTGGACCAGACTGATGGAACAATTGTTTTCCGAACATGCATAGAAGAAAAAGATAGAGTTGTTTTGCAACTTGGTACTTCAGATCCAACCAGGGCATTAAAAGTGGCTAAATTAGTGTAAGTATTTCTAATCACTCCAAGATGATTCTAATCTCTCTCCTTGCAAGATATGGTAATTGTGATTTTTCCATTACTGTTTCAGGGAGAATGATGTTGCTGCCATTGACATTAATATGGGATGCCCCAAAGAATTCTCTATCAAAGGTGGAATGGGGGTAGCGCTTTTGTCACAACCAGTAAAAGCATACAATATATTGTCAACCTTGGTAAATAATCTCTCTATTCCTGTTACCTGTAAAATAAGAATATTTGACACCCCCGAGGAAACTTTAAGAGTTGTAAACATATTAGTAAGTTCTGGGATCAAAGCTATTGCTATTCACGGCAGGACACGAGACGAAAGGCCCCAACATGCTGTACATCCAGATATAATCAAATATGTAGCAGAGAAAATATCCATTCCAGTTATTGCAAAGTAAGTATTCTGAATCCAAAAATTTAAAACAGGAGATTCTTGGAATTTCCAAATGACATTATAAACTATGCTTTGTAAAAAAGTCTGTTTTGGAGAGTTCCTATTGGCCGCATTAAGGCATGTTTTATGAACTTTTATAATTTGTTTTTTTTAATAACATAGGTAAATGTTATTCCTCTAGCTTAGATAATTTATATACATATTATTTTCAGTGGAGGTTCCAAAGAAATAGAGAAGTACAGTGATATTCATAAATTTAAAGAAATGACTGGTTGTACAAGTGTTATGATAGCTAGGGCAGCTGAATGGAACTGTTCCATATTTAGAAAAGAGGGATTATTACCAATGGATACAGTTATAAAGGAATATCTGAAACTTGCTATAGATTATGATAATTCACCATCAAATACAAAGTATTGCGTGCAAAACATTTTAAGAGATTTACAAGAAACACCAAGAGGAAGACAATTCCTGGAATGTCAAACTTTAGAACAAATATGGTAAGTCTTTAACTGTTAGCATATTGGCAGTGTATGTAAACTTAACCAAAATGAGATTGATATCTGAGATTATCCTTACAACAAAAAATACTCTTTGGGCTGTTAAAAGTTAATTTAATAACCTTTTGTATTTTTACAGTGCAATATGGGATTTACAAGAGTATTGTCAAAAACAACAGTCTTACCATCAGAAAATGGGAATTCAAGGAAGATGGCAAGTGACACCAGACAATTTGGAACCACCTCTGAAAAAAATAAAATCTAGTTCTGGTACTGAAACCAGCATAGAATTGGATGGGGTCAACCAAATGAAGGTGAGTAATTCCAAGTACTGATGATAGTATGAAATTTAACTTTTACCTACTTATCTAAAATTTGTATTGAATTAGGTATTGCTCATTAATGTGAATTTAAGTTTTTGTTAATAAGAATGAAATTTTTGTTACAGGTTTGTTTTATCAGAGCTAATTTTAATGATTTAAATCTGCCTAAGGCACAGCTTCATTCATGGGCAGGAAAGAATGGTCTTAAACTACCAACTTACGATACACAGCAAGTAGAGAAATTATTCAGAACAATATTGACATTTGATGGAAAAAAATACACATCATCATTCTGGGAGAAAAACAAAAAGTTTGCTGAACAGGGAGCAGCATTAGTGTGTTTACACTTTTTAGGATTGGTGACAGAAGATGATTTAGTTAAATTTGGAAGTATAATAAAATAAATAATAATCAATACAATCTTATGGCAGAAAATACTGCTTTATTTTATTTAATTATGCCTTAAGCAGATGCATATTATTACATTCATAAATTATCTAAATATACATTTATCTTATTTAAATACAGGTATACTCATAATTATCTACAGAAACCTATCTCAATTTTTCTTCTTTCAATGTGGTTTCCTCATAGCACAGATACTAGTGTCTAAAATGGTTTCACGGTGATAGTCTTATTCCGTTTGTTCTAAATCAGATTTACCTTACATGTTTTGAAAATCACAAGTAAACATTTTTTTATGAATGAGTCTTCATACTTCCTATATTCTCCACCAATTGATGGTTGAGGTCTTCTAATTTTTTGTTTAGTTCAGTAACTTTTACAGAATCTTCCTCCAGCTGTTTGAAATTATAGTGGCACTCTTGAGCATTTTGTAATATCACGTCTTCATTTGCCAATTTTATTGGCTTTGATGAGTCAACGATATCAGTATTTGACAAATCTTCTAATATATGTTGTGCTTTAGGTAAACTGGGGATAGAATACTTATTGAAATCCATTTTCCTTGCGGTTTTATTTTTATTCACCGAATTTACAGAATATTTTTACTGCTAGCTAGGGATTTTTAATGACATTGACACTTGACAGATTTGACATAACTTCACCACAGAGTGTCACAGCCCCATTCCGAATTTAGCCAAAACTATTTTTGACTCTATCACAAGAGTAAAACAGCAAATGTTCCTGAAGCGTGAAGCATTTAAGAAAAAGTAGCTTTCTGTCAGCTTTTACGTAATGGCACCGTTGCACTCCGTTTACGTTTCAGCTTCGCGCAACCGGGGCCCAGAGTTACGATTGCGGTAATTTTTAACGTCTCCAATCCAGACGCGCTTCACCCATTCTGAAGATTTCAATCAATCAGAAGCGCGTCTGGATTGGAGACGTTAAAAATTACCGTAATCGGGGCTCTGGGCTAGCGCTAGCCGCCATTTTAGAAAAAACTACTGGCGTTTAAATCGGAACGTGGCTAAAATAACGCAGTGCCGAACCAAAACTTAAATTGTTAAAAAATATACCGATTTTTTTTAATAATTCGAGTGGCAAAGGCATCCCAACAAAATCTTATTGGTGATTTTGTTTAAAAATATTTTTGTTTTTATCAAGAATACACCTTGAAAGTTTTTGGGACTTGTACCCTTGTACCACACCCTTGTACTGTTGAAATTGCTGTTTTTTTCTTCTTCAATATTCGCTAGCCTAAAATGACTATAATGCAATAGCTATGCTTAGAGATGGGTAGTGGGTAAAAACCCATTTCACCCGATTGGGTTTAAACTGGGTGATTTGGGTAAAAACCCGGTTTTTACCCATTATCACCCATTCTGGTGGGTGAAAACAAAAATAGCGTTTTTTTAAAGTGAGAAGTGGTATTTGTTGCTAAGGGGGCGTTCTAGTGTTACGTAATGCAATCTGGGGGGAGAGGAGGTCTTGAAAAACGTTACAATGCGTTACAGTGGCGGAAGGGCGGTCGATTTCAAGTTTTCAAGCAGAAGTACTTTGTAGTTGGTGTTGTTATTTGTAACGTTATACCGTAATGTCATCAAAGAGAGAGTTTGGCATCTTTGGCATCCCCCCCTCCATGTCCTTGCCATGATCACAAATTATTGTGTTCCTACTAAATTTCTTTTAAATCGGTTCAACGATTCTTGAAATAACACCATTTTATAAAATAATTGGTCACAACATCATAACGTGATCAATTTTACGATTTGGCCTTGATATAAATGCATATTAGTGTTAAATTTGACTTATTACTTATTAATCAATAAACTTAAGTGAGAAAAATTCAATAAAAATAAAGAAAAGATACCAATTGAAATAATTATAAAATTATTTGTTTTCACCCGGTGTAAACACCCACGGGTGGAATGAAACGGGTTTTTATTGGGTTTTTACCCTCATGTGGGTTTTTACCCGGGTGGAAACCCATCTCTAGCTATGCTGCCCTTTATATCGTTTTTGTAACATCTCAAGACTTCTTCATCTATTTTGCGTATTGCTTGCAAATTTTTAATGGTTTTATAATTTTTAACAAAGCTGGCCTGAAATGGCGCCCGTTTTCAAAACTGAATGTTTTATCACGGTTATAAATTTAATACAATATTACCTTAGTAACTTTAATGTTACCCGTCTCAAATTGAGACTCTCAATAGCTTCTCACAAAAGTTTCAAACAACTTAGATCCTTAAAAAATCGCAAAAATGATTTTCAACTTCACTAAACGTAGGTAACTACGAGAACCTAGTAGGTTTTATAACACGTTTTTAAAGTAATTTCACTAAAATCAATAAATCTATGATTAGAACTTAGTAGATGATAACCTTGGGATATACTTACCTACTTACGCAGCAGTTTACAATAACAATCGCATCGTCCATCTAGCTAGGTAATTAAAAAAATCAAAGTTAGGTCCTAATTCCCGAAATGCTGGCTACTAAATTATAGTCTAAGACCCGGTTTCTGAATTGTGATTTTTAGATTGAGCGTGCTCATTTGGGGTACCAAAGTACCAAATAGGTATACTTAAGTACCTACCTACTCAAGCAGGAACTTTATTTATAAGCATGAAAAGTTCATAATTTATATTAGACCGGTACTAACAGTTGATTGAACACGGTCTACCCAAAAATCTTTTTGAGAAACCAAACCTGCCTTAAAAAACGGGTCTAAGTAGGTCCTACTTAGACCAGTTTTTAAGGCACGTTAAGTCTTAAGTTTTATATTGTAGGCATTTATAACAAAAATAAAACAACAGACATTGATCTGACGCAGCGTAGTCCGTAGTTATTTAGGTGGATGGTTTGCGGTTTCCTGCGCCGACCGCGACACCATCGGCCAGTTTCACAAACTCGTGTTGTGCTCGTTTAAATATAACATTGGTAGGTACTTACTATAAACTTTTCTTTATCATACCAAGTCGTGTAAAAAGCGTACAATTTTACAGTAAGCAGTTAGCCATTCGTTATGTAAGATGATTCCGTGTTTCGCAGGGTAGGAGGTAGGAAGGCGTGAACCCGAGGGTTGAGGTTTGAAAATTACATACCTACTTAGTAGGTATCTATTTAAAGGAGACGCACAAATTTTGACGACAAACAACTTGAAGGCAGTCCATGTGACTGAAGACCTCACCTGGGTACAGGTTTATCCCCCTAAGACATGGCAAATTGGGATAATTATAATTTCGAAAGGCCTTCGCTCCACACCGTTTATTTCTATGGAGTAGGTACCTACTTCGCTCCGTGAAGGGATTCGATTTTCTGAGCGATCCAAAAGCTCCACTTTTCTAGTGGCAATAAGTATGTAATGTCCAGCTGTCATAATTTTTTACTTAATTTACAACCTTAAAAACTTATGTTCAAATACAATTATTTAGGTATGTAGAGTAAATACCCTTTCCCTAAATCTTAATACTCGTAGACATCGTCTTTTAACCGACTACAAAAAGGACACAATTGAATTAATATTACTTAAATTATTTCTAAGCAGGAACACTTATTATCACCTAAGATAATATCAAGTGAAGGATAGTTGATACTTGGCGCACGTGTGGTCTCCAATCTAGTCATTTTCCATACGACTGACAACCTACTAACAGTACCAACAGGCATCGGGTTACATGGATTATATCAATATCGTTTCACTTTTAGGGATCGTTTATTAAGCCAGTGAATGGCATGTAATTTTTTATGTTTATGTTTATACTAGCTGTGCCCGCGACTTCGTACGCGTGAAAACCCGTTTTCGCAACATTTTTCATTGTTGCTCTGCTCCTATTGATCGTAGCATGATGTTGTATAGCCTATAGCCTTCTTCGATAAAGGCATGTATTTAAATGATCTTTTTAAATTAGCAAAAACGGCAAATAAAAAAATCTAAATGGTCATCTATTTTAATGATTGATCCTCTTTCTTTGAGACATAAAATAAATAAAATCGATCGACATTTTAACCTCTTTTGAACTACGCAAAAAAAATTTGAGATGTAAAAATTATATCTGATCGTTACTTGTTGGTCCTCAAAAATAAAATAAATGAGCACCAAATATTCAATATTGTGATACTTATTTAAATAATTCAATTTGTATAAATTATTTTTTGTCTATATCAAATAATCTTCAAAATATTTATGTTATGGTACTTATTTATATTAAGTTGTAGTCAAAGGATGGAAACTATTTAAAGGCACTTAACGTTCAAAGATTTTTTTTTTATTAAAAAAGCATACTTAACACGTTCACACTGCGTTATCGGGTCGAATTGACCTTAGGTGCTGGATGCGATGGTGCGGGATGGATATATTCAGTCTTTTCAGTAGTACGAAAGATGTTCTGCTCATGTGACCTTTACCCTTAGGAGAGACACTTGTCCTCCGGTCAATCTAAATAACAACGAAATACCTCAGACAGATAATGCAAAATACCTGGGAATGCACCTGGATAGAAGGCTCACATGGCAGAAGCACATCTGGGCTAAAAGAAAACAACTAGATGGAAAACTTCGTGGTCTTAACTGGTTGATCGGACGAAGCTCGCAACTGAACAGCACCAGCAAGGTCTTGGTATACAAAGCAACTTTGAAACCTATCTGGACTTACGGGATACAGTTATGGGGAACAGCTAGCAAGAGTAACATCGACATACTGGAGAGATTTCAAAGTAAAGCACTTAGAACCATGCTCGGCGTACCCCAATGTATTAGCAACAAGTACATGTATCTTGACCTAGGCATGAACACTGTTCGTGAGGAAATAGTACAGGCAAGCCTGAAATACCAGGAGAAACTGGAAACTCATGCAAACGAACTCGCACAGGCCTTAAGTGGAGAAGGTGGACTACAGTACAATCGACTGAAAAGACAAGGCATTCCCAGTCTCGCCCAAAGATTTGTAGACTGAGCCAGGAAGAGAGTTTGCTGGAAAAAGTTCAGCAATTGATTGGCTCTCGAAGACAACATAAAACTCAGGACATGTAGCTC